GACTTCCAGATTTTGGGGATAATAATAAATGTTTGAGTTTTAGAAGTTATTTAATTTATTTTGTTAATGAGTTTTTAAGTCTTCCGCAATGTATTTAGTTCATTATGTTTGGAATGATGGGGTTAGATTGGTTGGTTCGCTCACGGATAAATGTGGGTGCCAGTCACGGCCCGATTTGGGTCGTGACAAAAATTATGTTACTTCATATTTTTTTTGTGATTGCAATTTATTTTCTGTCACTTTAAAATATACAAACAAGTGGGGACGCCTAGTGAGACCAAATTTGTCCTTCATCTCTTCTCTGTCAAATTAAATTTGCAAATCTGAAGCCGTAAAGGTGACCGCAATGAGTACTTTAAGTATCATCTTTGAGTTTCATCAAGTCTACACTCTGTCAATCCTTAAAGCATGGCATTTGTAGACATTGAAATTTATAGGACTAGACATTAAAATTTGTGGGACTCGACAAGTGTGTTTAATTTAAGTTGAGATTCTACAAGGCGTGTTCAATCTCAATTAGCATTCTTGGAGGTTACTCAACCATAAGTCTAGTTCATATATACAGGGTACTATATTCCCTTGATAAGACATCTCGAAAATCCTATAAAGAGATCGAGATCTCGAAAATTCTATAAAGAGATTGAAATCTCAAAAATTTCATAAAGAGATCGAAATCTCAAAGTATTCCATATAAAGATCGAAATCTCAAAATTCCTCAAATCTCGTATTCCATATAAAAATCGTAGTTCAAGAAATACGCCACTTATGGTCCTCATATTATAGAAATCAAGTACAAATCATCCAAGTTCGAGAAATACGTCACTAACGGCCCTTGAATCAGTAATTAAATCTCATTAGACGAGGAACAAAATTGTACATGCAATATTTATTGATAAAATCACGTTTCTTCATATTCTATTTCTAATTGCAATTTATTTTCTGTCACTTTAAAATTTTTTGCAAACACAAATATCGACCAAAAGACGTTATTTTTCCTTTTAAAAAAACATCATCCATAAATGAAAATAGAAACTATAAATATTATGCATATCCAACTTCACTTTGAGACTACAGGATCAACAACTTATCCGTTGACCTAGTTATAAATATTTTTCAAGGGTAGATCTAAATTTTAAGGGTGCAGATTTTATTTAAATTAATAACTTTTAAAGTAGATTTATGTTTATTATTCGCATTATACCCACTAATATGTTGAAGATAGTTAACTATGAACCCATAATTAAATAAGGTGATTAGCTCTGTTATTGAAATATAGTCACGAATTCATGAAATTAAAATGAGAAAAATTGTATAAGTACAACTATCTAATTACGTTGTAGAAAATAAAAGTTTAAATCTTACCTTACACATTTTTAGTCCAAAACGCAATCCGATATACAATATACATTCGTATACCATGATATACAAACTTTCATTTTAGTCTTCTACAAAAATATTTTGAAAATTTGATATACAATATTATACACCCAATATATGAGATTATCCAAATTTACAAGAGATATTTATATACTGATATGTAATAATATACAATATTACATATATTATTATTATACAAATATGAATTTAGTCACACTTCATCACGCTAATTTCTCTAGAAAAAACAAGATGAAATTTTCTGAAATTTAACCCAAAGAAAAAATATCCAATTAAAAATTGGGATCTAAAAGTAAAAACGAAGTAGAAAAAAAGAATAGAGTAGAGGGTGGTCCCTTTGGAAATAAATATGTGCTAGCATCTATCAATACAAAGTAATGGGGCTCTCTTCTAGTGTTTGTAGCTTAGGTTTGAATAAAGTTCCATTACCCATTCCTTAGGCTATAGTCTTTCTTTTTTAGGCATTCAAACATAGAAAATTATTAGTCTGATTAATTTGAATTCGTGTCAATATAAATGTATTAAAAGATATAAAACGATCCTTATTAATCATGTAGCAGTAAATTTTAGATAATCATTTGAAAGTATAATAAGCACATGGTTAAAATGTGCGAGGTTTTTAATTTAAACTTTATCAAATTTAGCCACTAACATATTGCTATTTCTTTGCACAGTGGTTTACTATTGAAGAGTTCTCTCTAGACCACTAGGTCAAGGGTTCGAGGCTGATACACTTTTGAAAAGTAGATATATGATTTTATTACTGTAGAAATTCGATATTCGATAATAACTAAGTATTGGGTGGTTTTTCAGATGACAATGAATGATCCCATATGTATATTGAGTGTATAATATGACATCAAGTTTTTTAATATTTTGTAGAAAAATAAAATATGAAATTTATTGTATATCAAATGTTATTGTATACCGGTTATGTTTTGGGCTATATTTTTGCATTGTAAGCTAGGTAATTGTATATTTTTGAAATTTTTCCAGAATCTTTGTGTTCTTGTTTTGTAATCTAGGTGTTTGCCTCCATATTACAACGAACGAGAATTATATTTGCTTTTATACTATCTGAAAAGAAGTTAAATTTACCCCTTAATCATACTTTTTAGATATATTTTTCTCTTCATCATTTAATTTTGAGTACGTATTTTCTTTAGATGATTAACACTAATGTTCTCAAATACTATCTTATGTGGCAGTCTAAGTAGATATATTTTTATCCTAATTAAAATTTTCCATCATATTCATCCCAACTAACTCAATAAATTCATTTCCCTTGAGATGATTAAGCTCAAGTTCATCTACATTTCTTCAATGGTCTACATGTTTGTAAGTTCCTTCAGAGTCTTGCAAAATTTGGTTTAGCATTTGAATGTTGGGTGTCATTAACTGAACAAGAAAACTCGACATTTTATATATATATATATATATATATATATAGATAGATAGATAAATCTGATGAGTGGTAAATATAATTTTTTTCCCCGAAAATACTAAGGCAATATGATCCTTTTCCGTAGTTATAAGCTTCTTTGCCTTCACTTATTAGTTAGATTTGTAGTTTTATTTAATAATCTCAAGAATGATGAGTTGTTCTTTTAATTATTATTCATCATTAAGATATCTTAGTGTATCACAACAAGATCTTTACAATTTTTGCACAAAAAATATTCATTGTAAAATATTTTACGATATTTTTTTAAAAGAACTAAATTCTTAAAATAATGTGCGTCAATTTTTATGAAAGAAACTTGATTTCATATTTATTTACGTGTACCTTTTTAAAAGGAAAAATTAGCTGTGGAAAGATCTGCTTACGGCCCATAACATAGTTGAAAATTGAAAAAATAGTAATTAGACATGATAGTTTTAATAATAATTTTGTTTAACAAAAATATTACCCCATCATTTTAATCATTACGTTTATTTTTTTATTTTTTATTTTATATTTGTACTAATAAATTTATTTAGATAACTTATCTTACAAATTTTATTATTTAGAATTATTTGTTGCTAAATAAATTCAATATAAATTAATACAATATTTGAAACATGAGTTGTTTTAACATTTATTAATTGAAAAAGCAAATATATCACCACATGACTTTTGTAATCTTAATTATTAAATGTATTATTTGTTGATATATATATATATATATATATATATGTTTTCTAATTATTTGTATTATGAACAATTTATAAAGTTGCAACAAATTAAAATTACACCTTGCCATTTCTACATATAAATGTAGATGATTTATTCAATTTTACTATTTTTTAACGTCTTTTCAATTTTAAAAGTAGATAATCTATCTTTTTTAAATAGAAAATTGACGATTTCTTAAGTGATCAATTATTTACCCTCAAATAATTTAACTAAGCAAATAGAAACATGATAATAATATTGTTCTTCTACTAGTTAGTTAGAAAGCCATAAAATAAATACTGTCCGACAATTATTTACTCTAAACTAATTACATGAAATAAAAAATCTCATAATAATTGAATGGTATAATTAAAAAAAATTATAAAATTTTAATTCAAATACAAAATAAGATAAAAAGGAATGAATCAAATAATTGATAAAAGATAATCTTTATACTATTAATCCCAATGTTACTAATCTTTAATTTTTGTACTAAACTATCCCTAAATATCCCTAAATGTGTCACCAAATAATGTTTGGCCCATCGTAGCCACGTGGATAACTATGTTCAAAGGCTATAAATCGTCAAGAACGATGAGATAAATGGACCCAACATACATTGAAGTCATAGGAAAATATCTAAAATATCATTATGTTAGTTGTGAAATTATGATTATATCCTAGCTCGTCCTTAACAAACTTTATTTGTCAGTAAGGCTGTTCAAAATCGAATCAAAATTGATAAAAAATTATTGAATTATAGTATTTAATTATTGATTTAGTGGTTTTGATAATAATTTTGATTTTTTTTGTTATCGGATTATCGATTCTTAATGGTTTAAAATTTTTTCTTAACGGATTAATCGATAATTCGATAGTAAATTAATTATTTATATTTATACTATTTTATATATAAAGTCCTCAACTTAGAGTTTAATTTCCTAGTTTTATTTTTGGTTGTCTCAAACACTTGATTATTCTATGATGTAAAAGTGTTTTTTTGAACAAGATGTAAGTTGTGAGTTGTGAATTGTGAATTCAAGTGCATGGTTTATTTGATTTGTCACCTTGTTTCTAAGTGATTTTCAATATTTTTTCTTTTGATTCAAATCTTAACGGTTAAACCGATAACGATCAAAAACCGATAAACCAATAACCGATAAGTCAATATTTTAATGGTTCTATAATGATTTAGCATCATTATAAACCGATAACCAATAAGCCAATCCGATAAACTTCAAAATTAAACCCAATCGATCGATACACAGCCCTATTTGTCAGTGTATTTCATTAAAATTTAATTATTTTAAATTTTTATCATTTAGAATTCTACTTCATTCAAAGAATTTTTGCATATTCAAAACTCAAATTTAAGATCTCTAATTAAGAAAGAAATGAATATGGCATATACTTATTGCACCATGTTCGCTGGTGGTCCTTAACTTCATACTTCTATATAATGGAAAATATAATTAATTTAATAATATAATATTAAAATATATCAATCATATTTATGCTTGAAAGGTAAGAAAACAAATCCAACCCAGAACATGCTTTATTAAATTCCTACCATACCTGCAAAAAGGTTCGTTGCCCATACCCCATAGTCTTTAAAGTCTTTGAGACTTAATGGACTTCTTCACATTGCTGCATAAGTATTGTCCTTTTCCTCTCTACTTCTCCACAAACTTGAAATTGTCGGTATGTTTCTAAATACATCTAGATAACAAAGCAAGTCTACTTTTAGAATCTTCTATTTTACTTCACAAACACTTCTAATATCTATTTGTGCTTTTTTTCAGTCTACGTTCAATATTTAAGTTTTTGAAATTTAACTATTTACATTAAAAAAATCTATTTCAAAAATAAAGCACTCTATATAGTCGACTTTCATTATCTAAATTTAAATTTAAAATCTCTAATTGAAAATTAACAAGTACTTAATACCTCACCGCTAGCTCATGAGTGGTCCATTTTTATCTTCAAACACCTCCCCACAACTCCAACCCACCAAAGAAGCTAAAAATCAACACTTTTCTCCACGACCTCCCCCCCCCCCCCCCCCCCACCACCACCACCACCCACACACACAAAATACACACAAACACCCTTTTATGTCACCTTTATGGTGAGAAGTTTGGCTTGGACCCAACGCCTATTGACCTTTTCCCAATTTCATTAATCAACATTCAACCCTTACACTTTTAAATTCATTTATATTCAAATTTAAATTTATTGTAATTTGTATACACTTTGCTTTCTATGGCAACCATATTTTTGGAATTTGTAAGAACACATACATCATTTGAGGAGACGAAATTTAATATAAACTAGCTTAAAATGCAACTAATCTCCTAATTAATTTTTAAAAAAAAATATAAAATAGCAAACTATTTAGATTTAATTGTAATACGTAGCAAATCTGTTGTCATTCGTCTCTCCCTAAAATTCTCACTCGCCACTCTCGTTTTCTCGTTGGCAGTGTCACCATCGCCTCTCTCACTTTTATACAAATAAAAATGTATATAATGTGTTTGTGTCTGTATAAAGTGGGAGAAAATTGTATATATACATACTTTTCGTTCGCCTTTCTCTCCAAAGAATCTCGTTCACCTCTCACTTTATGCAAATACATATATATTCTTCTTACACACTTATAATTATACAAACACAGATCCTCCCCTGTCTAGTTTTCTTTTGTCTCTTTTTATACAAACATAGATTATACAATTGATTCTTTTGTATATGTATATCGAAATAGATTATACGATTGATTCTTTTGTATATGTATACCAAAATATACCTATTAATAATCATAGCAAACATAAAATTTTATATGGAACATAATTATACAAATTGTAGTCTAAACCTAATATTTACTCTTAAAAAATACAAATGATCTTTTTTTTTGGTTTATTACCATTAAAATAGGAAAATTAAAAATAATACTATTTAGAAGCTGGCCCACAGTAATTTTATTTTGTGTATTTTTTTCATATACGGATGATGCTGAATAATATTTTTAATGAGACTTCTGGACTGCTGGTATTGGTAATTGAATACACTATAATGTTTCAATTATCAAGTTTTTCCTCTCTTTTTTTTAAATTATATTTTTTATAATATAACGTATGGTTCTCGAATTTTAACTATATTTTAATTCTTCTAGCCACGGAGTTCTTGATTTCCTAGACAATAATTATTTAAAGAAAAGTTTCTATGAAGCAACCTTCTGATTTTTCAGATTGGCTAGATTCTGTGAAGTGGACCACATTCTCTTGTTGTTATCATAAAGAAAATGACTAATAAACTCCCATTCCTTGAGGGGGTGGGGGTGGGGGCAATACATATTTTTTTTATTTATGGAAATAACCAAACTCAACCTTTCTTATGTAACGAAACATCACAGTTTTGAGGAAAAAGATACTAGATATTTTTCCACTTTACAAAAACATTCTATAACTAAAAGAAATGAATTTGAAGATGTATGATGTTGCTACTTAAGTTGGGAAATTTTTCAAGTGTTGAATAGTGGGATTTACTTACAAGAGCTCTATTCCTTTTCATGCGTATCAAATAAATCAAAATTCATTAAATGTCTTAACACTCCTTTCATTAAATGTCTAACACTCCTTTGTGAATTGTGACTCATATATCTTGTGACTTTGCACATGTAGATTAAATATGTGTGCATCATATAGTTGCCCTACACTTCACTCAAAATATCTTTCTCTGTGCTTATCTTAAAATTTGTTTATCCATTAGGATTAATTAAACAAGGGGCAAGCCTGGTTTTTATGTTTCTAGTTGTCCATTCAACAGATATGATTTGATAAAGCAGAATCTAGCTAGGATGATTGAGATATAATATTCTTACCCGTGTATCGTGTATCGACTACCGCCTTTTGCTCTTTGCTGGAATTTGAACATTGATCTTATGATTTTCATCCCACATCATGCCATAAAGGGAAACAACGAAAACCACTAAGCTGTACAAACCTGTTCAAAAATCAAAATAAAGAGTTCTTCATGTATAATGTCGGTCGTATTTAAGACACTAAAAAACAATATGGGACCCCAGTACTTCTATGTATCATACACATAATGAGGTATCCTGTTGTATTTTGAACTTGTGATTGATGTGAACCTGTTATACATGTCCTAAAAAAAAGACCACCAACCTCCAAATTAGTGAGGCCACAAATTCGTATCCACCTTGTAAAGTGAATCACTACACATAGTAAGTGCGGGCATTCCCAGCTCAGAAACTAATCAAATCTCCAGTAGAACTGTTTCATTTGGTGCATCTATCTGACCACCAAAACCATAAGATACGATGTTGATAAAAGTCAATGAATGGTTACCTAACCATCATGAAAACTGGGCTGCTTGCAAATCTGTGTGCTCCCACAGAATACTACTCTTTGAGGGGGCCGATCCATAATGTCCAGTCACTTATCAAAGGCCCTACTCCAACACCATATTAGAGGAAATTTGATTAACAAAATTTGGAACTACACGTAGATACTTGGGTCCTGTCATACACTTGATAGAAAGTGCATAGCAAACATGAACAGACTGCGTTACTTGTAAGCATCTCAATGGCAGTAATCATTCATTTTAGTTTACTACAACTACCATAGTTGAAAAAAAAAAAGAAAAAAAAAGAAGGGAATGAGAAGAGGTGGAAAATGGAAAGTTGAGAGGGACAAGCACACTGGAATGACAGCACAAATTGGACCACCACCTATGAAAAGTATCACAATTCTTTCTATCCTTTGCACCCTGTTTGTTTCACCGGGTACTTTTACCTCCCATCAAGACAATTATCAAATAACTCTGTCCATAAAAACAACACTTAGACGGATAGGAAGAAACCACCTTCCTATTTATTTTTTTGTTTATGCTGGGACACCAAAGAAAACGACGCTTGAATTACGTGGCCCAATCTGAGTTGTCCAATGCCCCAGAAGAAAGGAATACCTGGCAAAAACTCATCACTCACATGCATGCAGTGAGTTGCACTAAAGGTATGAGAGAGAAAGAGAAACTAAGATAGAGAACAGGAAGGGGGCCCAAAATTTTCCCGACAAAACTGATCTTGATATACCAGCAAGAGAAATAGAAAATTCACCATAATCTAGCCAACCATAAAAGAAAATGAAAGCTACACTGCAACTTAAAAGAAAAAAAAAGTATGCAAGGGAACATGGTAAAAAACCAACTTTTAACACCACTATTTCTTCTTACTCTTTAAATCATCTATCCCCTGCATCCTCCTATCAGTCCCCACCCCAACCCCCACGCTCCCTCTCTCTTTACATCTGCATATGTAAAGGTCTGTGTCTGCCTCACTCCTAATGCTTGACTAAGCTCCTCTTATGTTTCAAATGCTCAGAGGATGAACCAGTAACAATCATGTATGAAATTGAAGTAGCAAATGCTAAATATGCTACTAGATGAATATGCAAAGTTCTTCGTTATAGCTTTCACCATTTATTCCCCTTTTTCCTAATCCTATTTTATACTTTGTACTCAAATCCATCTTTCATCACAGAAATTCCAGGTCCTTCAGTTGCTAACTCAATCATGTATAAATTTCCGTGTTTTTTTCAGGAGACAGTAAAGATGGAAGCAGCTGCTCTGTTAGAAGTTTTTGAAGCACTAGGCTTTTGAGATCTCAGGAGAGGACTACCTCTGTTAGCTTCACAATGCCAGTTCCGCTTGCTCCATATCCTACACCACCAACACCATTTACACCACCTTCTAACGGTACAACTTTTTTCCTTAACTTTTTTCTGCCTGATAATAATACATAGAAAGAAATGAAAAGGATGGTCATGCATAACAATGAGCTAAGATTAATGTTTACGGCCGGCAGATCAAAGAGTTCATATCTTAAATCTCCAGTCCTAAAATCCAAATCAAAGTTCAATTTAGCATATTTGTAGATGAAGTGTAAAAAATAAATCAAACAGTATTTATAAAATAGACCAAATCAATTAAGACAAGGTCAGGGACACCAATACTTTATTTACAGCCATGACTAGTAACTTGTTAATTGCTCAATAAATCTGAATTCAACTTCAGCTTTTTAGTGAAACAGCCCCAGGAGGATCAAGCCACTTGACAAAATAGTGCAAATAACGCCATACCAAAATTACCTTGTTTTACAATATATCTTACGAAGAAATATGGTGGTTAGCAGGTACGCAGAGCCAGCTTGTGTGCTCTGGATGCAGAAATCTTTTACTCTATCCAGTTGGAGCAACATCTGTTTGCTGTGCAGTTTGCAATGCAGTAACAGCAGTACCACCTCCGGGTATGCACGTTATTAGACAGCCTCAACATTTTGGAACTTTTTTTGTTTCGAGAATGGTAAAACAGTATTATCAATATAAGATGCCTACACAAGCTGTGTAGTCACCCAGACCAACAGTGATTACAATTGGAAGACCTAAATAGCTTTCTATGACCCTTGAAATTCTAACTCATGGCTTATTTTTGGCTTATTTTTACCATTTTAGCTTAAAACTAAGTGCTTATAAGCACTTTTTTAAGTTATCCAAACACTCCAAAAGTGCTTAAAAGTTGTTTTGGCTTAAAAGCACTCAAAATAAGTCAATCCAAACAGGTAATCTACTAGAACATCAAAAACTGATTCTGCTTCTTCTAAACCTTCTTGTTTACACCAAAATAGTAAAGAACTAAACAATTCATCTTTAACTTCTATAAGGGATTTCCTATGTCTTCAAAGCATCTCTGATTTCTTTCCTTAAATATGTCCACCAAATACATGATGGGACAATCCTCCATATCTCCTTCCGACCGGATAATCTTCCTTTCCTGTACCAGCTAACTAGAACATCAGTTAATCCTTGTGGCATCACATGCCTTTTAGATTAATGAAAATTTTTCAAAGCTGATCAGCCCATTTACAGTGTAAAAAGAGATGATTGATTGTCTAAGCTTGCTCACCACAAAAGTAACATCTGGAACATAATTGGAAACCCCTCCTGCCTAAGTTGTCCTGAGTAAGGACTGCCCCTTTAGCTAGTATCCATACAAAAGCATGGAATCTTGACTCTCCATATCAGCTTCCATGGCCAGCATTCCACTAAATTGTTCGATCTGTTCGGGTCTCTGTAAGCTGACTTGACTCAGAATATTTTTAACTCTTTATTTAAGCTCCTTAAGTTGTATTAGGCTTAAGCATCAGCCCCTTTACATGTTACGAACCTTAAACAGGCACTGAGATGGCTCAGTTGGTTTGCGGAGGCTGCCACACATTACTTATGTACATTCGTGGAGCAACAAGCGTGCAATGTTCGTGCTGTCACACAGTCAATTTAGCTATGGAAGGTAAAGTAACACTACAGCCTTTTGAATGTACGGAGATATTTCATATAATCCGCTTAGTTACACATCCTTACTGGTCAAAGTAAGAATAAAATGGTATTGTCACAGCAAATCAGGTAGCACATGTGAATTGTGGCAACTGCCACATGCTGCTGATGTACCAATACGGGGCACGATCAGTGAAATGTGCAGTTTGCAATTTTGTGACATCGGTAGGGGTAAGTATAAAATCCTCTTTAGTATTAAGCCTTCAATCTTTCATGTTGCGATCAATGATGAACCGGTATTCCGACACTTGATAAAATTCTGCAGTTCAAATACTAAATTACCAGAATTTAATCCTACTTCAACAGTAACAGTCTCATTGTTCATCTTGGAACATAGCACAGAAGATATTGAATTGTAACATTTAATAGTAGTGTGAATTTCTAATAAAATCTTATACAACTTCCCTTTTCAAAATAGAACATCAACCAGGACCTGCATATGGCATGTAGCTTATAAAAACAACCAAAAAGAATGAAAATGTGACCTGTTAAGCTTTGATTCACAAGAGCAGGACTTGACGACCAAACAAATCATTCAAAGACAGCCTGCCCTGTATTTTCTTTATGCAAGAATCATATAGTGAAGGTTAGCATAAAAACTAGTATTCTTACTGAGCCTAAGCACCTTAAACCTTCCAAGCAAATTACTTAAACGAGGCACCACAGGTTCATTCTCTTTGCTCCCTTCTCTAAAATATTCAGAATATGATATAACAAAGCTCCAATGGAGCCACTACAAACATGTTAACTTTAATGAACTACATGCCGATTGAAAAATCTTAAGCAGTTTGGTTTGCTAAAAGTATCTCCAATTTAGCACTTGGTACAAAGGCCTAAGAATGTAACAAATATAAAATGCCTGCAAAAGGTTCCTCCAAGTTAAATCAAGACAATATCCTTTGTTCAAGCAGCTTTTGTTTTCTTTTGATTTCCAATAATACATGGACCAGTATAACCTGATGCTCATAAGGGAAGTGTCATTTTCTCTTCTTCTTCCCTGAAAAGGTTACAGAAATAGCACTAGTCATAATCTCAGCGGTGATAGTAGCAATGTGCATATTAGTGCTCCTTTCTCTTACACAACTGTCTGTTATACTACAAAAGATTCAAGGCTCCATAGTATTAAGTCCAATACGTCTCTATCAAATATCAATCAATCAACTATGCCTCAATCCCAAATTAGTTCGGACTGGCTATAAGAATCCTATGTGTTCATGTGACTATCATTCCACTATATCAACATGTCAATGTGATGAAACTTAGTAAAACCTATCAGTAAAAGAAGTATGCAACAAAACCAGCAAGGATTTAGTTCCACAATTTTCTTCTCCTTCCCTCAAATCGGGTCAAGTTACACTTGTCCAAGTTGACTCCATAGTGATACGATCAGCTAAGCCTTATTTGGCCACCCCTGGAGCATCGAAGTGTAGTGTTCGGAGACCCACACTTAGTAATTATACTGTCCAACTTTGTTAAAAAAATTTATTATTGTTCAAATTACTGTATAAATCATAAAAAATTTTCTGAGGCCTTTATAGCATTCCTACTTCATTTTTCATCATACTTGACAAAATGTTCTCTGGACAATACAGGTTGCAACGAGCACAGCTGAGCAAAAGTTTAACAGCTAACTTTAAAGCTGCTGAGCCAGTGCTAGAAACTTCTACAACTAAAGTTGTCGTGTTATGTGTCAGCGGCATTTCAGCTGCATCAACTGGAGGAAATTTCTAGTTGCTACTAGTATAGAGCTATTACAGAGCTTTTTTTCCCTCGCGTATCTGTAATAGAATAAGCAGTTTTGCAGGTTGAGCCTACAAAAGGTATTGCATATAATGGTATTGCGTTTGTAAGTCTGGTTGAAAAATCCTGGATAGCAAAGACTCCTTTTCACCTACCATAATATTGTTTTCATCTTGGGATGCCATAAATACAATTTTAAAATGTCTTGACTGAAGCGATAAACAAATGGGAGATATCAACATCTCATTCCGTCATTTGGTCAAGACTTAGAAAATTGACTCTTCCAGATACAACTGTTGAATTATGAGCCCTGAATGTCAATGTCAGATATTTTAGTTTGACATAAGTAGATCAATGCCTCAACCAAACCACAAAAACTGCTGAGGGCTAAAGGAGGTACAGCTCTTAGTATTAAATAGGTAATCCAGCCTGGTTTCTCTCTGCCACTATTTCCTTTGCCAGAACCCCCAGAAAGAGGAGGGTATAATGGCCTCATTCCCTATACCCTTCTCCAGTTAAATACCCAACTTCTTTCTGTGGCATTCTCGTACTAGTGATCTGTGTTTAATCCATGCATCGCATGTTGCGCTCTTACCACTAGACGAAAGGCCGTGGGCTATAAGAGAGGAGGGTATATCTCATGTTTTCGTCCCATGAACTTAAGTAAGCATGTCAATTCAATATGCACATGTGTGAAAAAATTAGACACTTCAACCACATTGTTTAGTTTTTGTATGACTTCTCTTGCTCATATCAGTAACCACAAGCTCTGGAAACTATATTCTTTTCTTAGTAACTATAACCACAGACAATATACAGGGCATGCCCAGAACCACTGACCAATTCACCATTGCAGAAATTAGCTAACAAGGTATGTAGCCGATGGATGTTCAGTAACATTCTGTATCTGTCCAAATGAAGATATTGAAGAAAGAAATCTACTAAATACATGGTTTCCACATGAACGGGAACTTTCATTAAAATTCAGGACCAGTTAGATGAAAAAGATGCACTTGATTTTCCATCACATGATGAGATAACAAAAAAAACCTTAATTTGTTCATAATATGGTCCTTTCACATGGATGGGTGATCTAGATATTTTGTTCTCAGACAGCTACACCGTTGATTTAAAAGAGAATCAAACTCAGAAAATACCTTTACCTCAAAATGAAAATGATATGTTGACATATGATGGAATTGAAATGGTTTCTAAAAGGTTCTTTAGTTTTCCTTCAAGTAGGCTATGTATATGACCTTTTCAAAATGAGCAAAGATTAGGGTCATCTTTTCATCACTGAAAGAAGTCTTGATTGTTCAGTTTTTGCTTATTCTCATCTACTTCACGAAGTTGTCACCATCTTCCTATCGGATCAAATTGTAGATGCAACATGGGCATATGCAATTTGGGTCACATAACTATATTCTCTATTTCCTGTTTACCTTTCTTATCCCTTCTGGATGGAAGAATAAGTACTAGTAGATCTTCCCAATTTTCCACCCTTGACATTGCAAGGTGAACTTAAAAAGAAAGAATAAATATCTTAAGTTAGTATACTATGCAATCTACAAAATCTGAGAAAAGGAAAAAGAGATACCATACAGTGGAATGTAATTCTATACTATTTCCCACATCATCTAACTACTAGCAGGATGGTGTATGGGTTACAATTTAATATGGTGCACCGGTAAGGAATCTAGCTGAACAACATAGAGTATGTCAGCCTTGAATTCATGCAGTAGAGTAATGGCCATTTTCATTACTACCCGAGGAGAATGACTGAGTCACTAGACTCACCGAACATGCTATCCTAAATGATAATTATGTTTAACTTTCTGCTGCAAATATAGTTTAGTTTCATTTAATTTTCCAGATCAAATACTATTAGACAACATGGTATTCGTAAGAAAAGGTCAGTCTTTCGCATGCATCAAAGATTACTTTACTGTTGCATAATATATGCTGTGTTCACATGAGTGGTATATTTAAGAAGTTAGTTCGCCAGTCAAAGGGAAGAGCAACATAGAGCTTCTGTGGTGAGACAATATCCAATTCCAAAAGATTTCATCCATTAATTGATCAGAATTAGAAGTTTTGCTAGAGTCCAATAATGCTCAATAACTAGAAAGTTCTCATTAGTTGAGATGAAAGTGCACCTCATGCTGATGTGATCTTCAAAACTTTAAAGTATATTAAGGCATAACAAGATTTCATCAAGAAGGCCCCTATCTGACAAGAAAAGAGAGTATAATTTTTTATTCAATATGGTAGTGGTACAAGAGAAAAGCCAATCCACAAAGGAAAAGGCACGGAAAGCATATTACACACAGATATAGCAAGAGAGGCAAGAAAATTGTACATGTTGCTTATGATTCCATATTGTCTTCTCAAATTAACTCTTGACAGGTTACTCATCTCCCATAGCTAATTCCAAGGCATAGTCATCTCTCTCCTGCAACAGGGAAGAAAAGTTAACCTTTAGGAACTTGACTTGATTATTATCCTTTCTAACATCATCAGTATCCCCTCTCCAACTGCTTTTCTAAATTAATAGGAGATTACAGGAATATAAGACTTACAATAGGTCCTCGAGCAAAATATCTCCCAAATTGAAGCCAATATACCTGAATATATCATGCTGTCAGATATCCGCGGTGGCATACTAGATCAAACTACAAGATTGTTCATATAGAATAAAGTTCATAAGGGAGTTCCAAAAATTCCTTTCGGTAACTTTTCTGTAAACCCCACCCTTTCATCTAACAAAATTTAAGCAAAGCTTCATTTCCATTGGTTAAGAAAATACTGCAGGTAATTCATTAGCTACAATTTCTTCAAAGTTCAATGAGGAAATATAAATTACATCTCATACTTGGAATACAACACTCACAACTTCAGTGCTCCACATAAAATAAAGTAGACGGAAAGGTTATTATAATAATTGAAATATGAAAAGTTTACATCTGTCAAAGAAATTATGCCGAAGCAACACATTATAAAAGAAACTGAAAGGCCAATGAACAAGCATGTATCTGCATTTTTACCCTATTGGAACTCTATATTATACTGGTATCTTGTCCTGTAGGATCAGAGTCAAGAACCTGTTTCTGCTTCTTGACTAGTCCTTAAGAGGACTACTCTTATGTATCTACCATATTTTTTTAGCATAAATTAGGGTATAGATTTGAGGCCAGGCTCAATTGACCAATGCGCAGATTGAGCAAGAATGGCATGAGATGAAACCAAAACAACTCAAAAGAGATTTTTTTTTTTTAAAAAAAAAGACCTATTGTTTATAGGCTAAAAATAGATTGGGCTAAAAGGGCCAGGCATTTTGTTAACTCCATTTTAACCAATCTCTTTCCAAAAACAGCAGCAATTTCTCTATATATGTTTGCATGATGAGTTTTGAGAACCTTCCACTTCATTTTCTTTTTTGAGAGATCTTCTTAATCAAAGGAACCATGTACGTCCTAGTTCCACGAAATCAAGGATAATTGTCTATAAGAGAAAATGAGAAAGAAGTTTAGAAAAGTAAAGAATGTGCATTACACATAATATCTTGGTGGTAGGGTGTGAGCTGCATGGATATGGCAATATTATAGCTGTTGATACAAAAGAAAAAAAACTTCTGCACTAGGCATAAGCCTGATCTGAAAATCTTGGGATGCCCTTCGGTTTGCATAATTGAAGGGTGTCATGTTGAAACCACAAAATCATAGACATAATCAGTAAGTATCCAAAGATTGTCATCAAATTTGATACCTAACACAAGCATGATACTAGTATACGGCCATATATTTCATACCCATGCTTCATAACCCAAACTGAACCCGTGAAAAGTGGGTGTGAAGTAGACCAAATAGTTTGCAAACTGCATTTGATTCACCACTTAGTTCATGATTACTTAGATGGTGATGGGTGGTTAAGTATCCGCAGTCTTTATTGCCACCCAAATTCAAACTTTTGCAATTCAAAGTTGTTACTTACCTCATCTTCATCCTGTGTTTCAACTTCAAGGTCCGATGACGGAAATCCCACACAAAGAAGCGCATAACCCTACAAATTAAAACGTACTCGGTTAATCAGGGTGAAAATAAAATAAGAATAGAATAAGACATGATAAAATAGAGATCATCACTTCACTTATATCTAGTATTCGGGATACAGGGTAAAAAACAGTTTTTTTACTTATCAGTAGGACCTCCGCGAACACCTTGTGTCCTCATATTTTAACCTTAACTAATTGCCTAATTGGTATAAATCCGATCTGAGCCTATACTCTGGCTCATAGGATTTAACAGAGTATGCCTCCCATCAAATCTCTTAAACGTCTAAAGAAAGAAGGATTAAGGATAAGACCAGTTATTTAGTCGAGGAGATAGGAGATGAGCATGGAAACTACAGCAATGCTCCAAATCATGGCCAAATACTTGCAAAACTGGCATTATTGACAAACAGACGAAAAAATTTGTGAATTTTTTTGTCATTATCACTTATACATAGTGGAATACACAGCCTGTTTGCATTAGCGGATTACAAGTAGCTGGTAAGAATCAAGTGTCGACACACACTTTTAAGTTCTAAAGTTGATTTTATACCTGAGAAGTGACGTGTTCAGATAAAAGTATTGAACTGTTAACAAACATTGGTGTTTGGTGAATAAGAATTTTTTCTATTAAAGTGACTGAAATGTCCTAAAAAGTATTTATAAAAAGTAATACTTAAATTTGCACATGAAAAGGACGAATGGCAAAATTATAATTGAGATGGGGCTGGGTATTTTCTTTTGAGAAGGGTGTTTCGGGAAGCACGAAAGAAATAATTAAGAACAAAAGAGTAAAACACTTGGTCAAATCGAAAGTGCTTAAAAGCTGAAAAACATAACTGATGGCTTTGGCTAATTTTAGTGTATAAGCACTTGTGGTGTTTGACACGTCGATAAGCCAAAAAGTGCTTATGAGCTTATCTAAACACCCTCATAGTCACTAGCTTGAGATGGAAGTTCATAAATTCCATCTTCCAAGATCTTATGGAACAACATATTGTGATTGTTTTGTGGACAATAACATACAAACTTCATTTGCATGCTTAATCAGTTTCAAGACCATATCCCCTAATCACATCACAGATATGATGTGCATAGGAATTCATAACATTCCAAAACCTTTTGGAACAAATTCTCAACATTGTTTTGTGGACAAATAAAAAGCA